TACCCCTCCAAAAATTCAGAGTAATGATAGTTAAGATGATCCAAGATCTCAGAAAAAGGAGGTACAGATCGAGAAGATACAAGAAATGTTTAACAAAAACCTAAAAGAACTAAAGAACAAACAGAGATGAACAATATAATAACTGAAATGAAAAATACATCGGAAGGAATCAATAGAATAACTGAGACAGAGGAACAGGTAAGTAAGCTGGAAGACAGAATGGTGGAAATCAATGCCACAGATGAGAATAAAGAAAAAAGAATGAAAAGAAATGAGGACAGTCTAAGAGACCTCTGGAACAACATGAAACGCACCAACATTTGCATTTTAGCGGTCGCAGAGGGAGAAGAGGGAGAGAAAGGACCTGAGAAAATATTTAAAGAGATAATAGCTGAAAATTTGCCTAACATGGGAAAGGAAACAGTCACCCAAGTCCAGGAAGCACAGAGTCCCAGGCAGGATAAATCCAAGGAGGAACACACCGAGAAAGATAGTAATCAAACTGACAAAAATTAAAGACAAAGAAAAAATATTAAAAACAACAAGGGAAAAATGACACATAACATACAAGGTACCTCCCATAAGGTTACCAGCTGATTGTTCGTCAGAAACTCTGCAGGCCAGAAGGGAGTAGCACCGTATATTTAAAGTGATGAAAGGGAAGAGCCTACAACCAAGAATACTCTACCCAGCAAGGCTCTCAGTCAGATTCAACAGAGAAATCAAAAGCTTTACAGACAAGCAGAAGCTAAGAGAATTCAGCACCACCAGACCAGCTTTGCAACAAATGCTAAAGGGACTTCTCTAGGTGGAAAAGAAAAGGCCACAACTAGAAATAAGAAAATTACAAATGGAAAAGCTCACCGATAAAGGCAAACATACAGTAAAGGCAGGAAGTCATCTACACACAAATATGATATCAAAGCCAGCAACTGTGAGAAGGGGAGAGCACAAATGCAGAATATTGGAAATGCATTTGAAATTAAAAGAACAGGAACTTAAAACAATCTTGTTTATATATAGACTGCTATTTCAAAACCTCACGATAACTGCAAACCAAAATCTACAATACACAAACAAGAAAAAGGAATCCAACACAACACTAACGTTAGTCATCAAATCACAAGAGAACAATAGAGGAAGATAAAAGAACTAGGAAAACAAATCCAAAACAATCAACAAAATGGCAATAAGAACACACATATTGATAATTACCTTAAACGTAAATGGATTAAATGCTCCAACCAAAAGACAAAGACTGGCTGGATACAAAAACAATACCCATATATATGTTACCAAAGACCCACTTCAGATCTAGGGACACATACAAACTGAAAGTGAGGGGAGGAGAAAAGGCAAATATTAACAGCCATAAAAGAAGAAATCAACAGTAACAATAATAGTGTGGGACTTTAACACCCGACTTTCATCATTGGAGAGATCATCCAGACAGAAAATCAATACGGAAACACAGGCCTTAAATGACACATTAGACAAGATGGACTTAATTTATAGAGTATTCTGTTCAAAAGCAACAGAATACACAGTCTTCTCAAGTGCACATGGAACATTCTCCAGGATTGATCACATGCTAGGCCACAAAGTGAGCCTTGGTAAATTTAAGATAATTGAAATCATATCAAGCATCTTTTCCAACCACAATGCTATGAGATTAGAAATTACAGGAAAAAAAACTGTAAAAAACACAAACATGTGGAGGCTGAAACAATATGCCACTAAACAACCAATGGATCACAGAAGAAATCCAAGGGGAAATCAAAACATACCTAGAGACAAATGACACCAAAAATACGACGATCCAAAACCAATGGGATGCAGTAAAAGCAGTTCTAAGAGGGAAGTTTATAGCAATACAATCTTACCTCAGGAAACAAGAAAAATCTCAAACAACCTAACCTTACACCTAAAGCAACTAGAGAAAGAAGAACAAACAAAACCTGAAGTTAGTATAAGGAAAGAAATCTTAAAGATCAGAGCAGAAATAAATGAAGTAGAGATGAAGAAAACAATAGAAAAGATCAATGAAACTAAAAGCTGGTTCTTCGAAAAGATAAACAAAATTGATAAACCTTTAGCCAGACTCATCAAGAAAAAAAGGAATAGGGCTCAAATCAATAAAATTAGAAATGCAAAAGGAGAAGTTACAACCAACACCACAGAAATACAAAGGATCATAAGAGACTACTACAAGCAACTATATGCCAATAAAATGGGCGACCTAGAAGAAATGGACAAATTCTTAGAAAGGTACAATCTCCCAGACTGAACCAGGAAGAAATAGAAAATATGAACAGACCAATCACAAGTACTGAAATTGAAACTGTGATTTAAAAACTCCAAACAAACAAAAGTCCAGGACCAGATGGCTTCATAAGCAAATTCTATCAAACATTTAGAGAAGAGTTAACACCTATCCTTCTGAAACTAATCCAAAAAACTGCAGAAAAAGGAACACTCCCAAACTCATTCTATGAGGCCACCATCACCCTGATACCAAAACCAAAGATACCACAAAAAAGAAAATTACAGGCCAATATTACTGATGAACATAGATGCAGAAATACTCAACAAAATACAAACAAACCAAATCCAACAATACATGAAAAGGATCATACACCATGATCAAGTGGGATTTACCCCAGGGATGCCCAGATTCTTCAATATCTGCTAATCAATCAGTGTGATACACCACATTAAAAAACTGAAGAATAAAAACCATATGATCATCCCAATAGATTCAGAGAAAGCTCTGACAAAGTTCAACACCCATTTATGATTAAAAAAAAAAACTCTCCAGAAAGTGGGCATAGAGGGAATATACCTCAACATAATAAAGACCATATACAACAAACCCACAGCTAACATTCTCAACGGTGAACTGAACACATTTCCTCTAAGATCAGGAACAAGACAAGGATGTCCACCCCTGGCCACTATGATTCAACACAGTTTTGGAAGTCCTAGCCACGGCAATCAGAGAAGAAAAAGAAATAAAAGGAATCCAAGTTGGAAAAGAACTGTCACTGTTTGCAGATGACATGATACTATACAGAGAAATTCCTAAAGATGCTACCAGAATACTACTAGAGCTCATCAATGAATCTGGTATAGTTGCAGGATAGAAAATCGATACGCAGAAAACTGTTGCACTTCTATACACTAACAACAAAAGATCCAGAAAGACAAATTAAGGAATCAATCCCATTTACCATCACATCAAAAAGAATAAAACACCTAGGAATAAACCTACCTAAGGAGACAAAAGACCTGTACTCTGAAAACTATAAGATGCTGATGAAAGAAATCAAAGCTGACACAAACACATGGAGAGATACACCATGTTCTTGCATTGGAAGAATCAATACCATCAAAATGAGTATACTACCCAAGGCAATCTATAGATTCAATGCAATCCCTATCAAATTACCAATGGCATTTTTCACAGAACTAGCACAAAATTTTTTTTTAATTTGTATGGAGGCACAAAAGACCCCAAATAGCCAAAGCAATCCTGAGAAAGAAAAATAGAGCTGGAGGAATCAGGCTCCCTGACTTCAGACTATACTACAAAGCTACAGTCATCAAAACAGTATGGTACTGACACAAAAACAGAAATATAGCTCAATGGAATGGGATAGAAAGCCCAGAAATAAACCCATGCACCTATGGTCAATTAATCTATGATTAAGGAGGCAAGAATATACAATGGAGAAAAGACAGCCTCTTCAATAAGTGGTTCTGAGAAAACTGGACAGCTACATGTAAACGAATGAAGTTAGAACACTCCCTAACACCATACACAAAAAGAAACTCAAAATGGATTAAAGACCTAAATGTAAGTCCGGATACTATAAAACTCTTAAGAGGAAAACATAGGCAGAGCACTCTCTGACATAAATCACAGCAGTATCTTTTTCAATCCATCTCTCAGAGTAATGGAAATAAAAACAAAAATAAACAAGTGGGACCTAATCAAATTTAAAAGCTTTCGCACAGCAAAGGAAACCATAAACGTAAAGACAACCCACAGAATGGGAGAAAATACTTGCAAAGGATGCAACCAAGAAGGACTTAATCTCCAAAATGTACAAACAGCTCATGCAGCTCAATATCAAAAAAACAAGCCAATCAAAAAATGGGCGGGGCTTCCCTGGTGGCACAGTGGTTGAGAGTCTGCCTGCCAATGCAGGGGACACAGGTTCGTGTCCTGGTCCGGGAAGATCCCACATGCCGCGGAACAGCTAGGCCTGTGAGCCATGGCCGCTGAGCCTGCGTGTCCGGAGCCTGTGCTCCGCAATGGGAGAGGCCACAACAGTGAGAGGCCTGTGTACCGCAAAACAAAAAAGGGCGGAAGACCTAAACAGACATTTCTCCAAAGAAGACATACAGATGGTCAAAAAGCACATGGAAAGATGGTCAACATCACTAATTATTATATAAATGCAAATCAAAACTACAATATCACCTCACACCAGTCAAAATGGCCATCATCAAAGTCTACAAACAATAAATGCTGGAGAGGGTGTGGAGAAAAGGGAACCCTCCTACACTGTTGGTGGGAATGTAAATTGGTACAGCCGCTATGAAGAACAATATGAAGGTTCCTTAAGAAACTAAAAATAGAACTACCGTATGATCCAGTAATCCCACTCTTGGGCATACAGTTGGAGAAAAACACGGTTCAAAAGGATACATGCACCCCAATGTTCATTGCAACGCTGTTTACAATAGCCAGAACATGGAAGCAACCTAAATATCCATGGACAAATGAATGAGTTAAGATGTGGTACGTATATATAATGGAATATTACTCAGCCATTAAAAAGAATAAAATAATGCCATTTAAGCAACATGGATGGACCTGCAGATTATCATACTAAGTGAAGTAAGTCAGATAGAGAAAGACAAACATATGATATCGCTAATATGCAGAATCTAAAAAAATGATACAAATAAAACTTATTTACAAAACAGAGCCGCAGACTTAGAGAACAAACTTATGGTTACCGGGAGCAGGGAAAGGGCTGGGGGAGGGATAGATTGGGAGTTTCGGGTTGACATGTACTCACGACTATATTTGAAATAGATAACCAACAAGGACCTACTGTACAGCACAGGGAACTCTGCTCAATATTCTGTAATAATCTAAATGGGAAATGCATTTGAAAAAGAATAGATACAAGTGTATGTATAACTGAATCACTTTGCTGTACACCTGAAACTAATACAACATTGTTAATCAACTATACTCCAATATAAAATAAAATTTTTTAAAATAATAAAATAATATAATTTAAAAAGAAAATAAAATAGAGATTAGAAGGAGGACTTTCTTTTACTTTGGTGGAGGGTATGGGAAGGAGGTAATATTTAACCTAAGACCTGCAGGACAGACAGGAGTTTTCTAGAAAGGCAAAAAGCACTCCAGGCAGAAGGAATGGCATGTGCAAAGGCCTGGGGGTAGGAATCTGGTATTGATATTTTTGAGAACCTGAATGTAGGCCAGTGAGGTTGGAAATGGTGAGAGAGGGAGGGCAGACATGGTCACGGCCAGTCAGGTCACCAGGAAGAACAGTACAGCTGTGGGCAGCAGCCAACACATTCATTCCTGCACTTGACAAATATTTACTGCACAGCCTATCAACCCAGACCCTGCAGGACAGATGCAGTGGTGAATGAGGTCAGACGGTCCCCATGGTCATGAAGCTCACACTCCAGCGCTGGGTTCTCAATCAGTGTGGCTGGCATCTGCTCTGAGCTTCGCATTTTCCTGTGGAAAATAAGGACAGATACCTGCCTTCTCCCAGAGAAGGATGGAGCCATCTAATGCACACAAAAGGCTTAGCGTAGAATGTCCTGGAAGCAACGAAGAAAACGCAGCTGGCCAGTGTGATCATTTCTAAAGCCCAACCCACAGCGACAGCTTGGCATAACCTAGCCCAACTCCAAGCAGAGACGTGGCCGTGGACGTGTGTCCAGGAGGTGGTGCCCTTGGCTGGGGTAGCAGCTCCTGAGTTGATCACCTAGTGGAGAAAGGATACAGCAGGCCCAGGAAGGACCTAGAGGGGTGGGGAGCGGGGAACACTCAGGACAGCAATGGGCGGACTGCCCACTCAGCCTCCACAGGCAGACACACCCCTGTGGGATTCTATTTTAAAAACAGGTTCTCTGGAGTACCAGGGGAGGGAGCTGGGGGTTCTTGCCAAGGGTGTTCCCCACTCCCCACCCATCCACAATGCCAGACAGCACACTTACTCTGGCCAGCTCTCTGAGTGCCATGGGCTCAGAGGCAGCCCTAGACCAAGGAGGCAGGTTTGTGCCAGGGGACACAGATGATGTGCCCCCGCCTCCACCCACACCGAGCTGCCCAAAGGGGTCTCACGGCGGCTCCAAAAAAGAAAAGAGAAGGAGCCCCCTGCACAGGCAGGCTGAGCTCTCCATAAACCTCCATATCCAGCCATCCAAGAGGCAGAGGGAGGCAACACAACTTCCACAAAGCATCAGTTAGCGGAGACCGCATTCTCGGTCTTGCGTCTTTGGGTGTATTTCACCTGTACAATTGTTAGCGTTGCAGCTGTGAAAGAGCTACAAACACAGGGAGCTTACATCTAGTTGTAAGTCTGTACGTACTTAAGTAACATTATAATGAAAAAAATTCAAGCAAGCACTGGGACCTGTGGACCTGTTTCCTTCAAGTAGGATGCGCCCCTCATTCCCAAGGCTTCTGGAAGGCGGACTCAAGTTCTGCTGGAAGCTGGTCGAGCCCAGGGGGTCAGCAAGCTCCCAGATGCATGGGCTGCGCAAGGCGACCACTGTGCTCTCAGTGGGGCTGGTGAAGGGCCCCCAAATCCCTCCAAGCTCCTCACAGGCCCCTAAACGTCCTGAGAAGCTCTAAGGCGGTGAACCCAAAGCTTGGGGGCCTGCCCGCCCTACCCGCCCCCCACCAGAACACCAAGCAGACATGGGGTTCCCCTCGGGGCAGGCCCCAAGCCAAGCCTCAGAGCCCCCTGTGCTGGGGGTGAGGGACTGTGGGATCCTGACCTGGGGGGTGGCCCTTCTGGGCTGTCCCGAGTTGCTGAGGAAGAGGTGGCACCCTGAAGGCAGAGGAGCTGGGAAGCCGCACTGCCTGGATCACTCAGGCGCGTCCCATGGCCGTCCTGGTCTGCGCCACCCTGATTTCTGGCAGTTCCTTCTCTGAGGCCTGGTTTCCTCATCTGTGAAATGGGACCATGCATCAATGCAAAAATGGTGCCCGCCGCGTCAGTAAACAAAGGATGTTGCAGCCGCCCCCGACGGTGCACCCTGAGGAGACTCAGGATGAGAAAGCACAGGATACTGGACCTCTGACAGCTGAAGTGCATCGTAAAGGAATGACTTCAGTGAGCCCAGACTCTTGCACCTTCCCATACACAGAAAAGCGCTACATGCCTTAACTTGCGATGTCTGGTTTCTTTAACAATATTCTTTTGATGTTCTGACTACCTGGTCTTCGTTGCAAGAACTCCTATATGTGCTGGTTCCCCCCATGACCTCTTGGGAGCAGTCCCTCAGAGCTATCTGAGAAGCTGCGTCCCAGGCTTAAGTCCTCAGTTTTGTCCGCCAAATAAAACATAATTCTCAACCTTTAGGTTGTGTGTGTGTTTTTTTTTTCAGTCAACAGGACACTTGTCTAGCCCACCGCCCGTGCACAGTGGCCCCGGCCAGCCCCGTGACTGCCCTCGCTGTCCCGTGGCGTGCTGGTGGGGGCCTGCTGTGCGGACCACAGCCACTAACGCCGTCCCCATTGCGGGCCTGGCACGGGGCGGCCCTGGTTAACACGGACAGAACGGGAGGCCGTGGGTGTGCAGGTGGATGGGTGGACGCGGGGTGTTGCAAAAGGCCTGCCCTCCTGCCCCGGGCACCGCCCCCCGCCCCGGCCACACCAGCCCAGCCCTGAATCCTGTGCTCCGGGATTGCCTCTCGGGCGCAATCTCTCTTAAGGCAGGACAGGATGTGCTGAATCAGCCCTCCTCTGGTGGCAACTGAGTCCCCTGCAGGGCCCCCAGGGGACTGACGGGCTCAGCCCTTCCCAGAGAGGGGCTGGAGCCCGTGCCCCGGCACCCCAAGTGTCTGGGTTCCAACAATGCCCATGAGGAGAAGATGGCTCCCGGCAACCTGGACCCCTGCCCCGATGTTCTGAAGCCCTCAGGCCAGAGGCAGGCTGGGGGAGGTGGGAGCTCAGCGGGAGAGAACAAGAGAAAAGAATGTTCACAGCTAGTCTACACTTGGCGGGTAACCCGGGGAGATGGGCGCCCACCCCAGCTCCAGGGGCCTCCTGCCACCGCTGGCCACTGTCACATAGGGACAAGGATCGGATGTGACATGGGAGCTAAGGGCTGGCCATGGAGGTCCTGCCGGCGTTCAGCTTCCAGCACAGCACTCCACCCCTACTGCCGGGCAGCACCCGTGTGGCCCGCCCTCGGCACCAGGGTGCAGATGTGGGGTGCCCAGTGCCCAGGTCTCCAGAGACGCCTGCAGGCCTGAGGCAGCTCCAGGGCTCAGATGCCACTCCAACCCTCACCAGCTGTTAGTGTGATGCCAGCCACCTACGCTGAGTCTCAGGTGCCAGGTCCATAACAGCAGCCCCGATGACAAATGCTTCTGAGAGGGTTAAATGAGCTCACGACTGGGGCACCTGGCGTGGATGCAGGCACCACCCAGAGCTCACGAGTGGTGTCCTAGATGGGGGAACAAAGCACTTGGGGACGAATGGGGGAAGTCACTCGGTGATGGGGAGGGGTTGCAGAGCGCAGGGCTCTGGCTGGTGGTTCCTGAAGCTCAGTGGAGTCTTAAGAGATGGACGTGGGGTTCGGGGACCAGAGAGGCACTGCAGATAGGACCCCAGGCCGGTCCTATGCCTACAGGAGGGACTGGGACAGTAGAGCAGGGAGGGGCACTCGGGGGACGCACTGGGTACAGACCCCATTCTCTGGCCCCGGCACTGGGTGGAGAGTGGGGGGCCCATGCCGGAGGGGCAGCAGGCGTGCTAATCTCTGCTCGTCACGACCTGCAGCCTTGTCGAGGGTGCGTGGGCCCAGCCCCTTAGCCACCACTGCTGTCACAGGCCCCTCCCATCCCCCCCACCTGCCGTAGCCCCCCAGCTCAGGACCACCTGGTCTGCGGCCTTCCGAGTAGAGCTGCTCCTCCAGCGGGTCCTGGCAGCACTGTGGCGACTGCCCCAGCAGCAGCAGAGCGAGGGAGCCTTCCTGCCACAAAGCCCCGCTTCCCAGGAGCTGAGGGAGGCCCGGACGGGCCCAGGCATCAGCTTCCTACCCCAGTGCCCGCCACATCCTCATTCCTGAGACCACAGCACCCACGCCGTGGGCTGGGGAGCACGGAAGGAACAAGGCCCGTGTGGCACTCAGCCAGGCAATGGCAAGTGTGATCCCAACCGTGAGGGATGGACCCTTCCAGAAGGAGGGGCTGGCCCAGGGACATCCAGAGGTCCCTGTGCCCAAAGCATCCCGAAACCATTATCACCACCGTCCCCTCCTCGCAACCTCATATAAAAGCGGACTCTGAACCCAGCCCCTCACTCGGTCTCTCCTCCTCAACTACTGTAATAGTTTTCATTCCCGTTTTCCAGATGAGAAAGCTGAAGCTCAGAGAAGTTAAGCAACCAGGGTCAAGCAGCCAGCAAGAGTCAGAGCCGACCCTTCCACGGTCCCTGAAACGGGGGGAAGTCCTGGAAGAGTAAAGGGCTCCCTGGGTCCGGCTGACCTACCCCCCCACCCTCTCCCGCTTGGGGAAGAACTGCCCTCCAGGGTCCCAGGGATGGGCAAACACCAGACAGGATCAGAGCCACCTGGTCTGGGCTGGGTGGCCCGAGATGGGAGGAGCCTTTGGGCCCCACAGGTGACCAGCCTAAGTTCCCAGAGTGCGGGAACAGGGGCTCAACAAGGAAACGCCAGTGTTCTCTTTGAAGTCTATTCCCCAGGACCAAGATATTTTGCTGGTCAGATTTTTCTCCCAAAGAGGAAGAGAGCACATTAAAACAAAACAAAGCAGAGAAACCTTAAAAGAGAACAAAGCCTGTTCTCATCCAGACTGGCCTTTATGAGGCCAAACACCCTGTATGGCACATCTGATGCCTTCGCTGGGTCCTGCCCTGCCTGCCTTGCCTGCCAGAGGACATACCTCTTTAAGGGCCTCGAAGGCACGGCTGGATTTGATTTAATAGCTGAAACATCAGATTCCATTCAGAAGCAATCCCAGCTAAGTATGATCGCTTTTGCCATGCAGAGCTTTCAGCGTTCTTTTCAGCAGCCGCCAGGTCATTGAGGAAATTAATTTCTCCGCGCTGGCCAGCTCCTGACGGGGTTCCTGTGACCTGAACGGCACGGGGCTGGCTCCTCAGAGCTGCAGGAGCACAAGGCAGGTGTGGGCAGGGAGGGGCTGGGCCAGCCAGGCAGAGAAGCACCTCGGTGGACAGGACAGCCCAGGGCCAGGTGGGAAGGCTCCCCCTGCGTGACCCTGGGATCTCCCACCGACCCCGCTTCTTAGAGCACCCAGGACCTATGCTTCCTGACTCCCATCCACCGGGGGTCCCCAGACCTCACCACCCCAAGGGCCAAGGACCCGAGAAGGGCTAAGAGTTGGGACCTGACCATGGACGACCTTCTCCAGTGCCCACGAGTCCACCACTCCATTCCAGCCCCTGCCCCTGCGCCCCTGCCAGGCTGGCTCAGGACACCCTAATCCAACCTCGGTGCCTGCTGTGGCTCCTGCCCCAGCGGAGCTGCAGGAAAGGTCCCGCCCACCCTGCAGAAGAGGTCCTCCAGGACATGCTGGTCCTTCCTTCCACCCTCTCCCTTCCCCTGACTCTGCACCCGTCCTGGGACCTGGGCAAGTCCCTCTTCCTGTCTCCCTGTTCCTCTGTCACCCACAAAGAGTGTCTGAATGAGTCCCTTTGCCCCTGGCATCCACTGTCACCTTCCCTTTTCAGGCAATGATTTCGTATAATGATGGCGCTAAGAACAGAGCAAGATAACTTGGGGTAACTGGGGCAGCACTGCAGCAAGCCCTGCTGGGGGCTATTCCCTCACGTAATCGTGACGCCCGCTCTGAGGAAGGCCTTCTCTCCATCTTGCGGAGGGATGGGAGACAAGAGGTTCCTTCGCACACCAGTGAGCACACAACTGCCCCCAGGAGAGGCAGGACCCAATCCCAGGGCCGTCTGGTCCCAGAGCCCTGGAACAACCAGATGTCCACAGTGGCACCCGACCCCAAGGCGCCAGCTCCCGCCTCCCTTTGAGCCCTCCATCCACTCCTCTCCTGTTGCCTCTCAAGGGCCCCCCATGGTGGGGCTCTCACCTTGGCTGCACACTGGACTCACCTGGAGCTGTAACGACTACAGAGGTCTGGGCCCCAGAGGCCCCGAATGGCCTAGGGAGAGGCCTGGGCTTAGCATTTGAGTAGGACAGAATTTGTGGCCTTTGCCCCAACAGAGATCTGGCCTTTGCCCTTGGCTTCTGGGAGGTGATCTGGGTCACACCTGATAGGAGTGTCTGTTTAGGGTGGGGGCTTTGGGTCACGCCGGACCAGCTGACTTGAGAGTAACCACGGGGACATGAGCAATCGGTCATGCCCACGTGATGGGGCCCCGCTAAAAATTCTGGACACCGCAGCTTCTGTGAGCTCCCCTGGCGGGCAGCATTCCGTGCGCGCTGTCACTCACTGATGCTACAAGAGTAACAGTGTCCCAACTCCATGGGGAGTGGACAAGGGATGCTTTTGCATTTGGACCCCCGTCCAGGACTCTGACCCATGCATCTCTGCCTTCTGATCTTAATCTGTATCCTTTGCCCATAATAAACCGTAACCGTGCACATATGCCTTCAGCACATTCATGAGTCCTTCCAGTGAGCGCTGGATCTGAGACGGTTCTGGGGAACACTGACCTCGCAGCTGGTGTCACAGGGAGGGTGCCCTTGTGTGGAGACTGTGCCCTTAGACTTCACAGGTTGGCCTAGACTCCACATAGGATTGTCAAAAGGCCCCCCGGGGACTCTGACCTGCGGCCATGCCTGGGAACCACCGCCCCAGTCTAAGATTGTCACCCCCACTTGGCAGAGGGATTATGTGTTTTGCTCAAGATCAACTGCAAGTAAGGGGCAGAGCCAGGCTCCGGCTCCAGAGTTGAAAAAGGGTCCCAGAGCCCCCCAGTCACCTGCTGTCCTGCCTCGCCCGGCCTTCTGCGGAAGATGCAGCCTACCTGGGGTGGGATCAGGCCTGGGGTGCGGGGGCTCACCTGGTTGGGCTCTACAGGTGCGCCTCATGCGGGCAGGTGTTTCCAGGTGCTGACGAAGGCCGTGGGGATGAGCGAGTAGGGCACGGTGGTGATGCAGTTCCACGTGTCCGAGGTGGGGTCATAGCAGTCCAGGGTCTTACACCGCTGGGTCCCGAAGTAGCCCCCCACCACGTAGAGCTTGTTGCCTGAGGCCAGGGCGTGGCAGGACATGCGCTTGGCAGTCATGTCCCCGATCCGCGTCCACTGGTTGGTCTCGCAGTCGAAGCGGTAGGCCGAGGCAGCTGTGAACTCCGTGTCGCCTCCCATGATGAATATCTGGCTGCCCAGGACGGCAGCAGCGGTGTACCGCCAAGGCTGGGGACACTCGGCCTTGATCGTCCACCGGTTCTCTGCAGGGTCGTAGCACTGGACTTTGGACACCATGTCCCGGTGGATGCTGGTCCCCCCGAAGACAAAGAGCTTCAGCTTGGCGCTCACGACCGCGGCATTGCTGACGCCATCCCTCAGCGGGGCCACCATCGTCCACTTGTTAGCCCCGGGGTCGTACTTCTCCACCTGCTTCAGGGAGACAGACGGCGAGGCCGGGAAGACGCCAGCCAGGGAAGTGTGCCCTCCAACCACGTAGAGGCAGTTCTCCAGCTCGGCCGAGCCATGGCCGAAGCGGGCGATGAGCATGGGCGCCGCCTTGGACCACTCCTCGTGGACGGTGTTGTACACCCACACGTCCTTAGAGACCCCGTTCTCGGAGCCCCGGCCCCCGGTCACATAGACCTTGCAGCCGATGGCCGAGGCGCTGAACTCCTTGCGGGGGCTGGGCAGGTCCGCCTTGGGGATGATCTCCTTGGCCTTGTGGTCCACCTGGTAGATCTTGTCACACATGAAGGTCTGGCCCCCGAGGATGAGCAGCGTGTGTCCGGCCCTGCGCGGCCGGGCACAGGGGCTGGTGACCACGCCGTCGTTCTGTAGGATGCGGGCCTTGCAGCGCAGCGCCTCGTCCACGATGAGCCGGGTGCGCTCGTCGGCCATGAGCAGGGCCTCACCCGACACGGCCTCCTTCAGGCAGTCAGACGGCAGCAGGGCCAGCCGCACGCCGCGCAGCAGCTCGGGCAGGTGGGCCTTGCGCCGCTCCAGGTCGTGCCTGACCCACTGCAGGATGGCCTCAAAGACCACACGCTCGTCCTCCGCCTCCAGCTCGTCACTCGAGATGAGGTCCAGCAGGGTGTCCTTGGACAGGCTGTTGAAGTCCTCGCTCTGCCGCACGGCCTCGAAGTGCACCAGGCACATGCGCCACGAGAACTCGTAGAGCCGGCGGCACTGGTGGGCGTCCGACAGCAGCATCATGCCCAGGCAGTTGGACGGGAACAGGTTCTTCTCCAGGAACTCAGCGGCTGCATCACGCACGTCATGGAACTGCAGCATGTCACCCGCCTCGAGCAGCGACTCTGCGTTCTCCTCGTTGATGACGATGCGGGACGAGTAGGCAAAGTCCAGCAGCAGCTCCAGCACCTCGGGGTGCAGGTTGTCCTGGAAGTTGACCGTGTCGTCGCGGCTCTCCCGCAGGCCGTGGCTGAACATGGCCTCGAAGTAGCGGCTGGAGGCGGCCAGCACGGCGCGGTGGCAGGGGAAGGCGCGGTCGCCGGCCCAGAGCGTGACGTCCGTGAACATGCGGTGCTTGCGCAGCGTGTTGAGGTGAGCCAGCACACAGTCGGGGTGCGAGGCCTTGTGGAACAGCGTGATGTTCATGGAGCCCGTGCTGCTCCGCGACTTGCGGGTCTCATGGACGCTGACCGACATGCTGAGCCAACCTGCCGGGGGGGGACAAGGCCACAGGTGAGAGGGGCCAGGGCCTGGCACCCCCGCAGCTCCCCACTCAGCCCCCAAGCATGGCCGGCCCACCCCCTCCACCCCTGCTCTCTGCTCAGCTCTGCCAAACCCGGCCCAAGCCCCACCCCTCAATCTGCCAGCCAAGGACGACTCAGATGGTAGAGGCTGGGGTTCAGACCAACCGCTTTTGCACCAGCTCTGGATACGAGCCTCCTTGGGTGACCTCGAGCTGCAGTTGCCTCCCGTGGTTGCTAGAACGTGCAATAGTGTCCCCAGCCTGGTTAAGAAGCCAGCAGGGCAGTGCTAAGGAGCATGTGCTCTGGACGCATTCCACCGTCCGGGGCTGCTACTGTGTGGCCCCATTCTTCAGCCGGGGAAGCCAAGGCTCAGAGATGCAAAGTGGCTGCCTCACGTGCTGCAGCCAGAATTCCCTCGTGGGCTGTCTGGTTCCAGCCCAATCTCTACCCCCCATTGGCCCAAGGAGACTGGGATTCCTGCAGGGGGACTTTTGAAAGCCGTTCCCAAGGAGCCACAGACCCCAAGCAGAGCCTTACGCCCCCCTCTGCTCCCAGCGCGCCCTGTCCTGAGCTGGGCTCCAAGCAGCCCTGGCCACGCCCCTCACACCCCTTGCCCTTGGAAAGTTCCCCAAGAACTGCTGTCACAGCCCAAGCACTCAGCATAGACACATTCTGCAAATCCAGGGCTCTCCAGAAGCCTCCGGACCCAGCTGCGATAAGGTGTGGAGGTGAGGCCAGCTAGCCTGTGGCTCACCCTCTAGACACCTGCTCGATTCCGAGGTCCCAAGGGGAAGCCAAGACAAAGTCCTGGGTGACAGCGGGACGCTAAAGCAATCCAGATTTGCCTCAACCAAAGCAGCAGGAAAACCTGTAGCCATCGGAGCCTCCCTGGTCCCGACAGGCGACTCCAGGCTCCCAGGCCGCAGTGAACGCTCCACCTGCCCCCTCGTCTGGCGTCCTCTGCCGGGCCCGGGACTTGGGGCTCAGAGTGTGGGTCCCCAGAGCAGACAGACACAGGCTCGTCGCCAGCTGGAACATGGGGATTCCAAAGCACTTGAATTAAAGTCTGGCCGATAGCATGACCCAAGACCCCACTGTGGTACTATGGGAAAGAGGCTCAGCCAGACGGCAGGCAAAGATCCTAGGCCTCAAGAGAAAGTGGCCAAAAAGTAAAATGCATTCAGCGTCCTGACCCCAGAAGCCTGGGCTTCCTCCTTCCCGCTGGTAAGGAGGCCAGAAAAACCCCCTTCTTTTTCATTTTTATTTTCAGAAGTGTAAACTCCCCCCACTCCCCACTCCAAGTCAATTTTGTACTTAAGTAATAATCTGGTAAAGGAAGGCTGCGATCTCATGCTTCACTGGATTGTAAATTATTGTCCAAGTGCACTGCTCTCTCCCTTGCTCACTCCTCTCCTGGCAAAGAGCCAGGGAAGCCACCGAGTGACGTGATCAGAGCTGCCCGGGCAAGGCCCCTGCTCCCAGGCTGGGGCAGGGAAGACACAGGGGCTGGGCCTGGCCTTGCTGCTCTGGCCCCCGAGCTCCAGGCGGACTGCGGGCCGATGACCCATCAGTGTCCCTCAGTGCAAACCTGCCACCGCGGAGCACTGAGCTCCAGGTTAGAGGTTTGCCTGAGGGGGTCCGTGTGCAGCCCACAGGGGCGGGAGAGTGCTGGACCCGACATCCAGGCTGTACACAGTGGTCCCCACTCTACCACCTGCCCAAGGGCACCTCTCCCCTCCTCTGCAACTTAGTTTTCTCTATTGTGAGACGAAGTCCCTGCTCTGCTCAGGCCTCTGAGAGTCCCTCACTTGTTGGCAATTGTTTACAGAGCTTGACCCCCGAGCCTGGCCTTGGAGCCAGACACTGCAGAGATGAGAGACTGCGCTGACCTGGCCGCAGAGGCTTCCTGGGAAGCGCCCCACCCCCCCCCCCCCCAGGTCTGAATTGCCCAACCTGAATCCCAGCCTTGCAGCACAGCTCCCCAAATCTCATGTGACTGCTAAATCCTCATTCCGGCTTCTGCCTCCTTGATCACCGGGCACTTTCCCAAATGTGGCCATCCACCTGGTGACTGTCCATCCGGCTCCCGTGTGTCTGGGCTGTTGGAGGGACATGGCCTTTGATCTCTGTGCCACCTGAGGGACTGGCTCCGAGGTCTTCAGTTCAGGGCCCTGATGCTGAGGCTTGACCTCGGTTCCTGCTGTTCCACAGGCCCCACCTGCTCTGGGCCCCTGAGCACCTCACTGCCCTCGCCCTGTGCCCCACCCCAGCCAGGAAACTAGGCTGCTTCTGAGCTCCACGTGGACGTAGCCTTGAATGCTGGGGCTTGCACACCCATGCATGGTGCCCAGCTCCTCCTGGACTCACTTTACAGACAGCCCCGGGTTGGAATGCCAGCTCTCTGCCGTGCAAACAGGACGTCACTAGTAGCTGCTCCTGGGGGGCAGCAGGCTCAGAGGCTGCCCACAGGGCCTGGCCCTGGGGCTACTAGCCAGAGAGTGGACGGCCCTGCTTTCCTCCCACAGTCACATGTGGACACACACTCTCAGCCTGTCAGGCGAAGGCCCTCTTGGGTTTTCTGGCCCCACGTGGCACGCTTCCCTCCCTTCCAGGCCCAGGTCCACGCTGAAGCAGCTGGCACTGAGGCTGTGGGAATGGGCTGGCCCCCCCCCACTCTGGGGGGCTGCTAACAGGGCCGCCCTAGGAGGGATTCAGGTGGAGATTCCCTTTGGAGGGCGTTAAGGGCAGGACGAAGCAGGACTCAAAGACTGAGAAGGTGCCAAAAAGCAGGGCAAACCCCAACAGAGCAGCCACGTTTGCCCTGAGAATGAGGTCAAGTGGTGACCTCTCCAAGGGCAACGCTAAGTGGGCAGCCCGGGGCCCCTGAGCTGACTCTGTCTCGCTCAGCACCAGGATGCCTGCCCGCTGACGCCAACTCCCGCCCCGGCCGAGAGCCCGCGACGCACGGACACACCCAAGCGGGTTCCCACCCCCAGACGGTTGCTGGCCCAGGCTCCTCTGAGCAGAGCCGAGAGCAGCAGCACCTGCCAGGAGGGCCGCCTCCCCGTCTGTCCCGCCTCTTCCCAGGAGGTGCCCAGACCTGAGCCAGTCTTCCAGGGACAGCCCCGAAGCACCAGGATTCTGCAGGGGTTGGAGAGTCTCACTGGCCCCAGTTTACAGACAAGGAGGCTGAGGCCCAGACACAGGGAGGGGGCTGCAGAGACTGTGAATCGAGTCTCCACCCAGGCCCACGGGTGCCCAGGGCTGCCCTTCAGCTCCAGGCCAGCAGTGTGGGAGGACAGGCCTGAAAGCCAGGGGCCCTGGATGCTGTGTGCCCCACCTCAGGCTACTCACCTCCACCAGAAATATACCCGGAAGCCGAAGCGTTACCTCAGCTGTAACATGTCCAGCATTTCCCCCAAACCTGCTCCTCCCCGATCTGGGAAATGCCACCAACACGCTCCTTGGTGCTCACATCCCATCATCCCAACAACCAGGCCACCACATGTCCTGTGGCCGCGCCTCCTACACGAGCCCTGGGCCTGACCCTCCCCCCAACCCCTGTCTCTCCCCTGGACTAACAGAAATGCCCCTCACCAGCCTCTGCTTCTGCTCGTGCCCCCCAGGGTCTGAATTCATCCAGAGACCAGAACCTTTTAAACAGTATCACCTGGATCACACCACGCCCAGCTCAAAACTCTCCAGGGCCGTCCCAGCACCCTCAGTAAAATCCCAGGTCCCTACTGTGGCCTCCAGGTCTCCACTGGCTACCCCTGTGTCCTCACATCCTGCCACGTCCCAAAGAGCTGCCCCTCAGGCTGCGCTGGACTTGTCACTGGCCTCAGGACCTTTTCACGTGCTGTTCTTCTGCCTGGAATGCGCCCCTGCCCACCCCATTTTTCCTGAGTGGCTCACTCTCGTGCCTCCTGAGAGCGGCCACCTTGTTGAGGTCACCCCCTCCCACACCTCCCCTACTTCTGCCTTCGCAGCACCCGTCACAACTTAGCATCATGCGCTTATCTGCCTCCTGCATCTCTGGCCCCTGAAGGCAGGGACCGTGTGTGGTGCTGATGGGACCCGGCACAGAGTGACCACTTGACTGGACTAAATGACGAAGCTAAGATGCATATGGTGCATAAAGCTCACCTCACTAACATCCACTGCGGTGCTCGCCCAGCTGCCCTCCTCCAGGCCCAGAGAAGATGCAGGCTGAGACGGCTGTGGATGCTGCCGAGGTAGGTGTGACGATGGGCGGGCGTGGTGGACATGCAAGCCAGCACAGCCCCCTCCTGCTTGCCCCAACATCCAGCTGTTCTCAGGAACCACCCTCCTCCACTCCAGACTGTTTAGACACAGGATCCAAGGCAGGGCACCGGGCTGGCCAAAGTGGTGCATCCGTGGGCTCTAGCATCCTCCCAGCCATTGTGACAGGCCCACACCCAGGATGGGGCCAGGAGACTCTGACGGGCCCCACACTTCAGGATGGGCCCAGGAGACTCTGACGGGCCCCACACAGGATGGGCCCAGGAGACTCTGACGGGCCCCACACCCAGGATGGGCCCAGGAGACTCTGACGGGCCCCACACCCAGGATGGGCCCAGGAGCCTCTGATGGGCCCCACACCCAGGATGGGCCCAGGAGACTCTAGTCAACGATGTTTACTCAGCTGCAGGGGGTGAGGCCAGCTCCGTTCCTGGGGCTGCTGACAGACTGAACCGAGGCTGGGAGCGGAAGTGCTGCCTGAGGTGGGGGCTGCACAGAGGAGGAGAGCAGGGCCCTCATGCCTGCTGACCCGAACCAGTCCGCCCCCTTCCTTTCTGTCTCTTGCCACCAAGAGTCCCAACTAGTAAAAGGATCACTGGGACGTCAGTTCCTGAATCAGGGATCAGGACTGCTGGCCTTAGTAAGGGGTCTTAGCTATGCGAGTCCTGCCACCCTTTCCACCTCCAGGGGAGGCCACCCTA